AAAAAAAAAAAAAAAAAAAAAAAAAAAAAAAAAAAAAAAAAAAAAAAAAAAAAAAAAAAAAAAAAAAAAAAAAAAAAGCGCTCTCCTGACCAGGTCTTGCGGAATAGGTACTGCAAATGCAAAATAAGTTTAATACAAGCGTCTTGTCCCTGCAAACATTTATTAATCTGGACATTGTTTGTTTGCTTATCAACATCAGGCACAGTGAGTATTCTGTGAGTCACTATTGTGCTGACCATGGAACCATAAAAATAAGGCTATGCATTATTTGTAGACAGTAGGTTAAAAATAAACAGAATTTCAAATTGGGCTTCAATGAGAAAAACCCCAAACAGGAATACCCAGCTGCTTTTTTGTGTGTGTGACAGAACAAAACATTATGTCTCCTTCTGAGCACAGAAACAAAACTGAAAAACCAATACGTCCAAATAGGAAGCTTGTGTACAAAAACTGAAGTTTGTTTTTCTGATAAATTGTGATTATCTAACAATTAATTTTCATAAACATATAGTAAAACACAGTCTTATTTTTTTCAAATATTAACTCCTTTTTCTAAAACAGTTAGTTAAAAGTGTTCCAAATAAGCTCAAATCTCTCTTTTTAAAGATCCTGCATTGCATGAAAATTTCAATTATATCTTCTGTGCCATTAATGGAAATAAAATGGTCCGGAGGTAACTTATTGTACTAACACTTTTACTTCCAGTGATACCAGAATAATGAAAAATGTTTCTAATTTGTCCATAATAGCACTTCCCCTTCATGTGCTAACTTTTGCATATGGTTACAGAACATGTTGAAATATTCACAGCTTGACAAATTTTTCTTGATCAATGAATAAATAAGAGAATGGTGCTTTCTTATGCCTTCCCATTATTATAACATTCAGTTCTCCCCCACTGCTCCAGATTCTTCCTTAAAATTGCATTGTGTTTCATTTAAAGCAGCTATTTGCACTTGTGTGGTTCCCAACCTTCATGAACATCTCAGTAAAACAAGTTACAGAAGATAGTCCTGCACAGCAGAAAAACTAGAAATGCTAGTTCTGCTCCCAAGTGCTTTAAAAATATTTTGTACATGAAATACCTTTGGTTTCTCATTTTTGTCATGTTAGAGGACATTTAGAACAAGTTTCATCGTATTTACAAAGTGCTGAACAATTTAGGCCTTTATAAGTACTAGCCACTGATTTATAGACATGTTGAGAATAGATACCAGATATATCCATAAATATTGCACATTCTGGAGCTAATTATGCTCTGCTTAGGCTTCTGAATTTACTTCATCTGGTTAAAAAAAATTACTTTCTTGTATATAATAGATGCAACAGATATAGTCATTCCCTTCCCCTCCTACCTTTCCCTCCACATCTACTGACCTGCTTTGCAATGCTTTTTCTAGACCCCCAAAAGATATAGTGCAAGTTTTGAATTTCAAAGAGTTATTTCAAAAGTGATTTTTCACCTTAATCTAGTTGACTGTTTCTGCTCACATAGAATGCATTAATTCAAAAATTAATTTACAATATCCATTTGAGATATTTGTTTGTAGATATTAACTCATGACAGTGCTCTGTGAGCATATGTTTAACCACTAAC